GAATGTTTCCCAAATTGAGGATATCATGTAGAACTAAATAAATACTCATGTAGAGTACAATGAGTACATTCTACTCATGTAGAATAAATAAATAATTATTTTCATAAATCTGTAACTTTCACTCTCACTACAGACGTCAAAGTATAGTAATGCTGTGAGTAAGTATCTGTGAACACTCCAATTCACTTCCAGGCTGACCTAGTTCTTTGGTAATAAGCTTCTTCAAGCTGTTTCTCTGCTAAGTCCAGGCCTTGGAAATACCTTAGACATACAGTGTTCTCCTTAAACTTCTTCTTATTGCGAAAATATGTGGAGCGCATGGCATGTATTTTTGGAATCTAGGCAGCTTGTGCTATACAGCAATTCAAGTGTGAATCTCTTCTCTATTTTTTCCATTAATTAAAGGAAAAAATTAAAGATCCATCAACAAAAGAGAAACCAAATCCCACACTAAAGCAAATACAACATTTGAAACAAGAAACCCAGCAAAAAATAGCCAATCTGGAACACAGCAGGGCATTCCAAAACAAAGAGAAATCAAGATCTCTTAATTGCTCAAGTACTTTGTTAATATGCTTTCATGTTAACTTTGTTAATCATCAAGTGAACTTGGCAGCAAAGTCACTATACTAAATTGAGCTATGTAATATTACAGTAGCTCATTCAAGGAATGAAGTTATCACTAATCTCATTCTTAAATACATATGGCTCCCAACTACACTGAGTCACGTTGTAACCATCATCGTCATAAGGTTCCACATAGTTTAAAAGAGATTTTTGGCAATTAGTGGTGTAGGGAATCTATCAAAACTCAATATAAACACAGAACATCTAAATCATCCTTGGTGGATAACACACTCATTGCACAAGCTTTCTTTGCACTTTCAAATCTGCTTAGCACCATAAAGGGGACAAAAAAAAACCCAAACCTAAATCCACAACATATATGCACAAAACAGTGTTCTTTGTACCTGAAACAGAAAAATTCAACCCATCTTCTCCTGAACTCCCCCTGCCCTCAGCAAGATATCCTGCTTCCTACCCTTCAATGCAAATCACATCTGGCGTTTAGAAAACCTAGGAATGGGTGTCCTACTTCCAGTCTCACACCATAACCCCAAACATAGTCCTCCACTGCAGATTATAGTCCTCCACTGCAGATTCCTACCCTACCTAGCCAGTATTTTACCAGCCCTATGCTGCTACTTCTTAATCCCCTATATTAGTCTCATAAAAATGCAGAGGAGGTACATCATTTAATACGCTGTCATGGACACGTATGTATAATAACACCCCAAACTTACAGTTGTTACACATGCGGAAAATACTGAACACGCATTTAGTTTCTGATCACTCACAAGAGGCTGAAGAAGCAGATTTTGTTGCTGTATTAGCGGTACTGTGCAAGGGGAAGAAACTAAGGTCCAGTAAAGGAACTTAAACTCAAGTGACATATTTTTTAAGAAACACAAAAAGATTCCCTGTTTCAACCTCTAAAATGTATCTGTTTTATGGATCTACAGAAAGTATTTTAAAGATAGCTGCAGAATACTTATCTTTCAAACTACCCTTCTGGACAAGCAAGAGTGGGCACAACGCATGTGCATAATTCTTTCTCAACATGCCAAACTCATCCTCTGAGTGTGCTGTATGTTAGGCACAGGAGCATGCTGTAAGGTCAACTGAGAGAGCCAGCCTTCCATACCAGGGTTTTGATAAGCAATCACTTCATTATCATTGCATCATCAGAACTCCTCCTCCCCCACATAGCCTACAAGAGAAAGAATGCCAGAGCTCCAAGTGAACAACAAAGTCATGAAGCCAGCCCAGTCATGCCCTCATGGCAGCAGAAGGGTCACACAGGTTTTTCTTCTCACTACAGGCAAAAAAAATGCAATGGCACAGCTAGTTACACAGCAGTGAAGAGAAGGGACAATCATCTCCCTCAAAATGGATATTATTTTGAGCAACAAGAAGTCATCTGTAAACTCAAAAAGTCACGTAAAGCATTCTTGTTTCCATCATAATAATTTTTGAAAGCAGAATCCTGGATCTTTTGATTCTTTACCTTTAGTAAGTAAACAGACCTTCACTTCATGTCTACCGTCTCTATCAACCCCTACAACATGGAGATACTTACAGTACTAAGCTGACATAAATATTAAATTATATTTAAACACATCCTGTATCTAGTTATAACTATCACAACAATAAATCATTCTTAGAATATTTAAACAAACCAAGGTTGGTGAAAAATTACAAAGATAATTCTCTAAAATCATTCAAGTACCATACTTCCAACTCTAAAGGGCTTCTAAGTATCTTTTCTGATTTAAGCATAAGCCTTGGTTAAACCAAGGCTTCTGCTAGTCAGTTAGTGTTCAAAAAACTTGCTTTCAGTATGTAGGTTTGTCTTAAGAGAGAAAAAAAAAAATCCACATACTCGTAAGTGATGGCATCCTTTCTTGTGTCCTCAATCCCTCTCACGATCTTCTTCCTTTACTTGATGCTGCAATTCGAGCCAAATGCTCATGCAAAATCAGTTCATCTGCACTGAAATGAGCATTTCAACAAAATATAGAGTTGCAGAAACTGAGGTATAGAAAGCTTTTGCTGGAAACCAGGAACAGGGCACAGCTTTGATACAGGGCTAAGCTGAACATTCTTGCTACAACTCTGCAAATCAGAAACTTCTTGCTCCCTCATTTTAGTTTCTAACTCTGTCACAGATGCAGTAAACTACCTACAGGCAGCAAGATGGTAAGGAACTTAAATGATCTCTCCCATCACGAAAGCATAATGCTTCCCCATGTCAGGACTGCTGACACCATAGCTGGAAGGAACCCTACCAGTTTTGCAATCTCTTTGTGAGACAGGGAAATGATAAACTCAAGTTAATTCAACAGCAAATCATTATTCTTGCATCTGTCCTCAACCCTCAGAACAAATGCTATCACAAGGGTATCAACCATCATGTTTCTCAGGAACACTTTTAGGTAGATCACTTCTAACAGCTAAAACAAAACTTCTTTGCAGGTACTCACATCAGGCTCTACGCCTGAACATCTTGCCTACTAGTGACAGAGCAAATGCAAATATTCAATTGTAGCTCAACGCTTACTGCCTTACGTGCAATTCTACCTCTAGCAAAGCAATTGAATTTGTAAGTATTAATCCTAATTGTTCAAACTCAGATAACAGTAGTAACACTGAAGAAACAAAGCATTATATGAATACACCCATAATGAGAAACTAGTAGGGGAATATTGATACCAATGCTGACCTGTACCTTTTTTCAATACCTAATTCAGGGAACTAATACATGGGGCGGGGGGGGAAGGAATGGAAAAAAAAAATTAAGAAAAGGAAGCAAAAAACCCCAAATTCCAATTAGATTAATTTTTCATCCAGAATTCCCTTACAACCATCTTCAAAAACAACTTCAAACATCCCATTTCACCTTAGCATCATAATACAGCAGGACAACAAGACTATATCAAAAGGAACAAAAACGGTAATGTCATTCTGAGCAGCCTGGTTGCTGCAGCATGTCTTCTACAATCATGATCAGTCAGTCAAGCAGAGGAGCAACACCTGGGATCTGTCTGTTACCTGGACATCAGAGCTATTAACTATGCACTTTTCATAATTTCCGTTAAAGAACTTTGCAAAAGTTTAAATCATTAAAGCTAAAGTTACATGTCAAATACCCTTTTGCTAAAAAATCGCTGTTGAGGATTATCAAAACAAAGCTATGTATTCTTGATCAAATCTCCTCTTTGCCCAAATGCCCAAGAAGACCCAGAGACTTGCAAAATAAAGTCATTACAGAGCAGCTGTTTCCAATACTTTTAAGACTTATTTGAACAACCTACAAAATCTGGTAAACTGACTTCTAATTTGCAGTGCTCTATATAGGATCTAAAAGCTTGTTAGATGTTGCAGATTAAATATTTACATCTAGTATTTCTTTTATGCACAATGTCATCTACTGAATCACTGTGCTCTAGTATCAACAGTAGTAAAGCAGCAACTGATGTGTATTAGAGCAGTCATACTCTTTTTGAAAAAAAATTAAGAAAATTTTGATGGCTGTTCTTAAGCTTTCTGCATGTAAATCTGTCTACTCTAGCCCCTTATCAGTGAAACAGTTCAGGTTTCATTGGGCGTTTTCTTCAGCGTGATACTGACTACACACAGAATTGAGATCACTGAGGTTGAGATCATCTGTGGTATAGGCAAGAATTTTGGTTCCACCCCCAGTGAAGTCAAAATAGACGCACACAGAGTAATTCTTATTTGGGAAATACAGTGAGATTCTTAATTACAAACTAAAAAATCCTTAGTCTACTCAAATTAAAAAACAAACTAACAAAAGGAAATTAAACCCAACACACCCAGCATCATACCGCATTTCTCAACACTGCAACTCACTTGAATATCTTCAACTGTTTAAACTATCTGCTATGCATACATTTACCAAAGATGGTCAGCCCCAATAAAATGTTTCAGAAGTTGAGCAGATGTTAGATTCCTACAAAAATGAGGTTCTAGAACACAGTGCTATGAGTATGACAGGAAGGAGAATCTTTTTGACATACATATTTTGCATGAGGCTATAAACTACGAAGATTATTTAGAACTATTTCACCTCTGAACAGAGCTCATACACATACTTGCTTCTACAGCAAGTCTCAAATCTCACCGTAATGTGAATGGGCACTCCTAACAGTAGTTCCTAAAGATACACTGAGGGTCCACAAAGAAGAGCAACTAGGTTGCCTGCTATACAAACCTGGGGAGCAAGATAGCTTCTAACAAGAGAGTTCCAACCATTTTCCGTTTACAGTCATTGGAGCTGCCCATTGATTTGAATGGGAGAAGAACACACATGCCACTCCTTTCTGTAGAAAATTCTTAAAGAACATGGAAGTGTCTGCATTTTGTCACTCCTGAGGAAATCTGGTACAACACCTGCACACAATGAGTATCCAAATGAAGAAGTTATAAAGAGCCAGCTGCCCTTTATTTAAAATACCCCAAAAACTTGCTGTACATTCTTTTGAGAGAAGCAGAACCATCAGGAATCCCACAGCCACATAATTCAACATCTCCAGAACCATAAACATCAACAAAGCCTGAGCATCATGTTGAGAAGAACCACACTTGTATTGAAAATGAGGTTGAGAATACTGCACAGTTACAATCACAGAGACTAGGATTTCAAAGACACACTTTCTTGCAATAGAACAAGCTTGGATTTTAAAAAATACAATCATTATATACAGCAAAAAATGTGGCCGTAAGACCAGCCTTAAACTAAGGCCTTGTTTATACATTTTCTGCACTGTCAGGAAGTATTTTGCCTGGGAATGTATTTTTTCTTCCAAATCAATTAAATATTTGCAATTCTCAGTTTGAAAAGAGCTATATACCACCTTTGTATTGGCACGGATATAACATATTCCCACAGGGAAAAGGAATAAAAGAGTACCTTTATATTGATACAACATTTTCCTCAAGTGTAGAAGCTAATATAGCTTTCATTATTCGGTCAAGTTAAAGCAGTATTACTTTTTTTCTACTTTATAGACAAGGCCTATGTTTAACAAGCACCAAAACACTTCAGAGTATTTGGAAGATCAGACTACTGAGCTTTACTTTTTTGTACTGTCCTCACCAAGTCATAGAGAACATTGAACACCTAAATACATTCAGAATTCTGATTAGACCCATGCCATGGTTTCTTAAACGCTTCACTGTTTAATGAACACACCTTTTTGGCAAGAAATAGAATATATCTACAGAAAAGCCTAGCATAACCTGGAATTTACTAGGCTGGCTTCAGCTGCTCTGCTAGGCTGGGAAAAACTGGACTTTATGTGCCGCTGTGTGCCACAAACACCCATTTTTGCATTATTCTTCAGTCACAACACAGGCAGTAGAGAAACAGGAGACACTAGAAAACATGAAGAATCTGTTGTCTGTAGGGGAGAACATAATAAATACCTGTTTTTTATTAAGCAGAACAAGTTGTTTTCAATACACTGATCTAGACCAAGGCCTGTTGGGTTCTAAAAACTCTGTAATCCCACTGAATTTAAGGCAAATTTGAAACATAGCAATAGCTGAGATGTAAATTTATGGCATTTTTTTTTAACTTCAGATACGAAGCTTTTAAAACTTCAGACATGGTGGCAGTCAAGCTTTCTTAGTTTTCAATGCAGTATTTGTGTTAAAAGAAACCCCTACTAATAAGAAGCATTACCCCCCTGCATTCTAAAATGGAAGTCTTCAAAGAGCTGGCTTCTAATTAATTTTTAAAGATTTCTGGAAAATAAGTTGCAAAGTGGTTTTCAGTTTTCACTTAAAAAGGGGGCCTGGTTCAATTTGTCTATTATATGAAGGCCCAAACAGAAGCTGAGGGACTGTCTCCTCCAAATCTCTATTTTTAACTTTGATTGTATCAGTGACTGACACAACCTGGCTAATTGTATCAGAACAGGTCCTTGCTGTTTTGAGGAATACATGTGAGCTCAGAAGAGACCCCCATGGGATTTCAATACATAGAGTTAAACTAATACTAAACACTCTTCTTCCAGTGCTGAAGCAAAAAGTTTTCCTACTTAAAATAGAAATTATCAGATTCACAGCAGGATTCACAGCAGTTAGTTTTCAGTTGGCCTGATTAGAAACCCCTCGCAAAAACCCTTTACACATCATTGCTCAACTTTTAGTTTAATGTTGTAAGATAATTTCAAGTCTTCTTGGGATAGGGGGTTAAATAAATAAATAAAGAAGAGAGACTTGCAGGTTTTGTGCGCTAATCTTTAAAGAAGGGGCTGAAAGGAAGATAATGGACTTGAACTCCTTAGATCTTCCAAATTACAGAAGGTACAGGTCTCCTTCCACCTCTCTGCAAACCAGGAAAAGACATATTGGTCTGACACGTAATTTTAAAGACATTAGAAGCTTAAATTTTATAACTAATCGACCTTTAGAATTTTACCCCAATAAACACTGTTCCCGGTAAGGAATAAGGGCCTAATCTGACAAGGCCTTTTTAGCATTAAAGCCACACTACCTTCCTAAAGCTGCCTACTGAATACAGCTTTCCACTCATATGCTGCCATCACATAGGATCAGGACCTAAACACAAATGAAAAACTGTAGTATTAGGTAAAATAGCAATCTTGTGGTCTTTTCTTTTTAAACACTATCCTTAGCTAATCGAGCCCCCCACCCCTCCCTTCACTTCTATTAAGATACAAACCAGGATTAAAAGCCTATGTGAAAGTTAGTGTTTCATGTAATACATAAAAGCGCACAAATTTGTTTTCTAAAAAACAGCATCTGTATTAAAATTCTTAAAATGGATAGACATCTCTTGAATGCATGTCTGGAATTAAAATGACAGTTGTTAGAATTTTCTTGGTACATCACAATGATAAGATTTCCTTCTTTGCTGGCTGGAGGTACATTCCACAACAAAACCGGGGGGGGGGGGGGGGGGGAAGGAAAACAAAAAAAGCCCTCCTCCCCAAAAAAAAACCAAAAGGCTAAATTCTTGTAAATTTGAAGTAAATGAAGCCCGAACTTGCAAGACATGGAAACAACAGTTAAAAGGCTCAGATGGAAATAAGAAATAAATTCCACTGACAATAGGCCCTTTTGTCCTGGTTTGTTCGGTATGATTACTGCAAGGAAACTGTTAAGTAGTTTTTGGAGTAGTAGATAATGGAATTCTGTGGAGCTTTCACAGGTTGGCACCGGCTGGAACAGCTGAGTTTTGAAGGCACTCTATAGACACAGGGTTGCTGTTGGCCCTGCATCACATATAGGAAGTCTTTGCACTTTAGAGAGCTAGTCATCAAAATCAGTTATTGCCAACCTAAAAAGAAAAACCCTCGGAAGAAAAACCACAAAAAACACTGCTCCCACCCACCAAACGAAAAATTAAAATGAAAACGAAATCACACACACACGCACACCTAAAAAATTGTGCAGAGTTGTAACATTTTCACAGCTGATTTTAAAAAAACAGAACCCAGGGAAAACCCAACACGCTACCACTCTCCTGCAAACTCCCATCCGATACAGCAGGTAAACAGAATAGGAAGGTATCCCACGGCTCGTCGCAGGCGCTCCCCAGCACCCCGCGCCGGGCTGCCGTAGGGTTCGAGTTCGTCCCGGGTCAGACGTGCAACGCCCCGGGCCAGGCGCCCCGGCACAACCCCCGACTTTGCAACTTTGCATAGCGATCCTCACACCGGCGGGGCAGGGAAAGGGGGATCCGCACTGACCCCGCTCCCCACGCGGGCAAAGGGCAGCTCCTCGCCGGCGTCGTCCTCCCGGTGCCACAGCGCGGGGCAGCACGCCGCGAAGACACCGACGGGAAATATGCCACGACCAGGACTGGACGAAACGTACATGCCGAAAAAAGCCACATTTCCAACACGATTTTTTTTTTTCGTTTTTTTTTTGTTTTTGTTTGTGTTTTGAGTGCGTTCGGTGTCGGCGGCTGCCGAGGGCAGCGCGCCCGCCCGCGGGGCCGCTCCCGCTCCGCTCCCGCCGAGCCCCGACCCGCCGCCGCCCTCAGAGGATGGCGCAGGAGGAGCAGCACTGCTCGTCCCCATTGGGCTGCGAGGCGTAGTTCATCTGCCTGACGATCTCCGCGAAGAGCTCGTCCACCGAGGCTTTGTTTTTGGCCGAGGTTTCCATGAAGGGGCAGCTCCACTCCTCGGCCAGGGCTTTGCCCTCCCCGAAGGAGACCTCCCGCTCGCCCTCCAGGTCCACCTTGTTGCCCACCAGGATCATGGGCACCCTCTCGTACCTCTTCACTCGGATGATTTGGTCCCGCATGGGCTTGATGTCCTGGAAGCTTTGCTGGTTCACCAGACTGTATACCAGGATGAAGCCCTGCCCGTTCTTGATGTAGAGGTCCCGCATGGAGGCGAACTGCTCGGTGCCCGCCGTGTCCAGGATCTCCAGCACCGACGGCGAGGAGTCCACCTCGATCTCCTTACGGTAGAAGTCCTCAATGGTGGGGTCATACTTCTCGATGAAAGAACCCGTCACGAACTGGACGGTGAGGGCGGACTTGCCCACGCCGCCCGAGCCCAGCACCACCACCTTGTACTCCCGCATGGCTCCCGGCGCGCCGCCTCCCTCGCCTCCCGCTCGGGGCTGCCGCTTCCCTCCCGCCCTCACGGCGGGCGGAGAGAGGGAGGGAGGGAATGAAGAAGAGAAGGAGGGAATAAAGAAGAGAGGGAGGGGCGCGCCCGCCCCGCCGGGCGCTCACTGGAGCCGCGCAGGGCCCGCCGGGGCGGGGAAAGGGCGGCCGCTCCTCACGGAGCCGCTCCGGGCCAGTCCCGTCGCTGGGCAGCGCCGCGCCCCGAGAGCGGGTGCGGGGCCTAGCGCGGCGGCTGCGGCGCCTGCGCAGGGGGAGGTAGCTGCCGCCACCTCCGCTAGAGGGGGGGGGGGGGGGGGGGGGGGGCAGTGCGCCGGCGCTACCAGCCCCGGGCCTACGGCGGGACGGTGCGGCAGCGGCCCGTAGCGCCCCGCCCTGCTCCGGCGCGGCCCATTGGCTCTGGCCCGCCGCCGTCCGCCCCTATTGGCTTCCCGGCGGCGGGGAGCCGTGCGCGCAGCGCCCCGCCCTGCTCGTCAGGCCCCGTCGCCGCCCGGGCTGAGCGGGGCGCGTTCGCGGTGCAGCCTGTGCTCTCTGCTACTCGCCGGCTCTTAGGGCGCTGAGCTGCGTTCCCTTAGGAGCGGGGTGCTCTCGGAGCCACGCTGGCCCTGGTCAGCTAGGGGAGAAGAGCGGCGGGACCGGCAGACCGAGGTCCTCTGCCCCCTTATCGGCGGGGGGCACGGCCCGATTATCTCCTCTCTGAGGTCTCTCCCTCCCTATCGGATCTCGCCAGGGGGCGAGGCACTTTTCGCAGCCGGCGCCGGAGCAGCTGCCGGCGCCTCCTGCTCCTCGGGGCTGTCGCCTCGGGAGCCTGGCGCTTAATAGCACTCCGGCCCCCGCGGAGGCAGCATGAGAGGAGCTGCGGAGCGGAGGGGGGCAGATCTCCGCCACGGAGGGGCTGCCGGCAGCGCCCGCTCACCCCGTGCGGGAGGGCCTGGCCGGTGTTGGGGCTCAGGAGCAGTCCCTTCGGCTCCCCAGCCGCTCTTTCTGCCTGGCTGAAGGTGCCCACTACCTACTATGGGAAACCGTTCCCCGGGGGCAAAGGCAGCCCTGGGGCTCCTAGGGAGAGGCGGACGGAACTGACCAGCCTGTCTCCTGACCTCCTGACTCAGGAGGGACAGCGCTGAGCTCTGGTTGGCGGCGGCCTCTGGGGAGCCCCTTCCAGGCTTTGATGTTCTCCATATCCACCTGAAGTCAAGACTAGGTGGTCTTTCAATCTGAAATGTGGCAATTGCCAGATGTTGATGCAGTTTGGGCTTTGTGGCCCTCGAGCTACAGTTTATCCTGGCAGCGTTGAGTCATGTGGGCTGGCTACCTGCCACTGTTTGTAGAATTCATTCATTGGACTTCTTATCAATCAGACATTCCTTTCAAGAAAATATCATTAGCTATTTTGGCACTCTCTAGTCTTTGGTTTTATATCTTGTTCAGTTCTTTAATATTCTCAGTATTTAAGGAAGTAATTGTGGCATGTATGCCTTTTCTAATGCACCTTCTTGTTTAGAAACCTAATTTAAACACTACTTGGGAAACAGGCAGCGGTAGACAAAGGGGGTTGCAGTAAGTTTTGTAAGCAACATTCTGTTACTCCTGAACAGTTTTTGCAGAGGCCAAGTACTGCTAAAATTATTTTTGCCAGAATTCACGGTGGGGATTCGCTCTGCTGGATCTGGATGCACTGCATCCTCGTGGTCATCTGGTGAGTACTACATTTCCACTGATCCTCTGCTAAGCACTGTATCTCTGGTGATCCTGTCCTCTCAGGAGCTTAACTAAAATCCTCTCCTACTGTTTGTGTAAGGCTTTGCAAGTGAAGCCACTCCTGAGGAATACTAAACTTGTGTTCAAGCAACCCTGCTATGAAGTGGGCAACAGTTTAAACAACTTCCTTAAACATATCGCATATCTGAAACCTGTCCCTCTCTGTGTTCAGTTTCTAGGTGTAGTTGTGCCCTGTACCTGTTGAGAGTCCCTATTGGGATGCTGGTCTGTCAGCTGATTTCTTCTAGGTGCAGTCTTCTCTCTCACCTGCCAAATTTGTCAGCTGCAGGCTGATCCTGACCTAGTTCAAGGTGCTAAACAGTTCAATCTGGAATGTTGATCAGATACTGCAGCTCATGATGAATCTTGAGGGCTGGGATTTGGCCATATCTCTGTTCTATACTCTGCTTGCTAACCCCATTACCCTTCACTTGTGACAAACCTGTAGGCCATCTTTTTTCCAGGGCAGTACTACAGTCTTTCATTCTTCAAAAAGTGAAAAAGACTTCTATGGGTACCTACGACCTCCAGTTCTGTCAATAAGTTGCCTTTCACTGGCTGCTCAGCTTCTGCACAGACGTGCGTAGATGCTGGTTTTGGAAACAAAGTAACAGCTCACTAGGAGGCTTCTGAGCCCTTTCCCCACCTTTTCCTGTTTCTTAGCTCCCTGCCCATCTGATTCCCTCCTCTAGAAGTATTTGGGGGCAGAGCTAGCACATCAACCCCTGACAGCTCACTCCCACCTTTATGTAAGTGAGCCAAAACCTGTCATGAGCCAGCAAGTGCTTGCGAAGTTGTCTTTAAAAACAGCTATAAAAATTGTGTGAAAGCTATGGTATTGCTGCAAAAATATTTTATTTTCTTGGTCTGTGCTTTGCTAATGCTGCAGTAAGGTTTTGGGGACAGTGTGGATTTCCTTACACTCATCACCTCTATAGCAAACCCACTTGTAAGTTACTTACATTACACTTATCCCTAATGTGGCAGTAGCGATATAAAGACCAGACAATTGTACTGTTGGTTTAAAGACAGGCTATTTAATACCAATTGACCATTGAATTGTGTTTTATTCTGCAGTGACAGAATAAAATTACTTTTTTTTTTGTATTCCACGCTATGCTATTAATTGCTGCTCTTTCTGAAGAAGGAAATGTGTTCAAAGTAACAAATGACCTTTATGCTGTTGTGTTTAAATATGACATATTATTTCTCAAGTTCTCATCCTCTACTACATATGTTAATTTAATTTGTCTTGTTACCAGCCAGCTCTAGGTAATTAGTTAGTCTGCAGTGCTGCTTTTAGAAATTTGGAGTCCATGAAATAACAGCAAGGAGTCTGTGGGAAGTAGCTAAAGGAAGCGAGTCTGGTTTTGTTAGAAATAAATTTTCTGTGCATGGCTACAGACTGCTAAGGGGATCTGTCAGTTGAAAATCTCTGTGCATGGCTACAGACTGCTAAGGGGATCTGTCAGTTGAAAATCCCTGGCTAAGGGTTTACACATTTAAGTTAAATCACAAGAGTATTCAGTACCTAATTTTTGAATTAGGAAGCACACACATTATATTGGGTTCTTGTACTTCAGGGATGGTACCGTGGTTTAGATTCAGGAATAAATGAAAATTATCGTGAAACAAGCTCTATTTGGGCAACATGAAAATGTTACAATGCAGTGGAATCTAGGCAAACTATAATTATCAGGCAGTCGGCTGCATTAATTGGATTTTCAAAATAATCAAGTATATTTTAAAAACACTTTCAAGATGATCTGATACTATTTTAAAAATGTCAAAATAAAAATCAGCTGAAAAGCATAAATTTGGTTACTAAGCAGTTTACGTACAATATTTACATATATAACTAAACTAGCTTTTGCTGTGTTGATTAACCTTGCTCATTCAGTAAAACTACTTATATGACCTAAGATTTTTTTTTTGCATAGTTTAGAAAGGTCAAGTCATCAGCTGCTTCTGTTATAGTTATTTTTGGCTGTACAAGTGTCAGCATTATAGAACTACAAAATAGTGGGGTTTTGTTTTTTTTTTTTCAAAAATGCATTTCACATATTATAGGCAAAGACTGAACTTAACTGTAGTTTAAATCAGTAACACATATTAGATCTAAAATTGCATTATGGTGCATGTCTGATAACAACAAGATTTAGTGTGTGTCTCTTGTTCTGAAACAATGACTTTAGTTTTCTTTATTTAATTTGGGTTGCTTCTGTTGAATAATGGTGGTGGCATTTATCACTGCACAAGGGAGAGACTCAGTCACTGAGCCTCAAAAATTGCTGCCAAGCTTTAACCAAAAATCAGCAAGAAAGATTTATGTGAGGGGCATAAGCTTATAGAATCATAGAATCATAGAATCGTTAGGGTTGGAAAGGACCTTAAGATCGTCTAGTTCCAGCCCCCCTGCCATGGGCAGGGACACCTTACGCTAAATCATATCACCCAAGGCCTCGTCCAACCTGGTCTTGAACACTGCCAGGGATGGAGCATTCACAACCTCCCTGGGCAACCTATTCCAGTGCCTCACCACCCTAACAGGAAAGAATTTCCTTCTTACATCCAACCTAAACTTCCCCTGTTTAAGTTTTAACCCGTTACCCCTTGTCCTATCACTACAGTCCCTAATGAAGAGTCCCTCCCCAGCATCCCTATAGGCCCCCTTCAGATACTGGAAGGCTGCTATGAGGTCTCCACGCAGCCTTCTCTTCTCCAGGTGAACAGCCCCAACTTCCTCAACCTATCTTCATACGGGAGGTGCTCCAGTCCCCTGATCATCCTCGTGGCCCTTCTCTGGACTTGTTCCAACAGTTTCTTGTCCTTTTTATGTTGAGGACACCAGAACTGCACACAATACTCCAGGTGAGGTCTCATGAGAGCAGAGTAGAGGGGCAGGATGACCTCCTTCGACCTGCTGGTCATGCTCCTTTTGATGCAGCCCAGGATACGGTTGGATTTCTGGGCTGCAAGCACACGCTGCCAGCTCATGCTCAGTTTCTCATCAACCAACACCCCCAAGTCCTTCTCCGCAGGACTGCTCTGAATCTCTTCTCTGCCCAACCTGTAGCTGTGCCTGGGATTGCTCCGACCCAGGTGTAGAACCTCGCACTTGGCATGGTTAAACTTCATGAGGTTGGCATCAGCCCACCTCACAAGCGTGTCGAGGTCCCTCTGGATGGCATTCCTTCCCTCCAGCGTATCAACTGAACCACACAGCTTGGTGTCATCAGCAAACTTGCTGAGGGTGCACTCAATCCCGCTGTCCATATCAGTGACAAAGATGTTGAACAAG